CCAGAGGTGAAGGCAAGCTTGTTTTCTGTTGAGAGTGTCTCTGATAAGCAGTCAAATTTGGAATGGAAATATTCAATTGGTGTAATATAAATAATACTTTTTGAACCTGTTGTATTACCCACGACAAATTGGGTATCCTAGATAATCCGTCCTTTTTTATTTGTTTGTGAAGGCAGTCCTTTAAAGACCAATTAGCACGTTCCACGATAGCTTGACCCGTGGAATTATAGAGAAGACCATGAGTAAAAACAATATTTCAGGTTGTATAAAATTGTCCAAAGAAAGATGAAAAATAACATGTGAACCTGTTTCCCCTCATAGAGGTGGGGGAAATTGTTTCTAAATACCTATTTATGAATATACATTTTTAAAAAGCCAAAAAAAGAAAACATGGATAATGTCCATTTGTCATAGTTGATTAGAGACAAAACCACATAAAAGACATAAAAAAGACATACAAAAGACATAAAAAAAATTAGGCCCAGGAAGGGAGGAGTGATTGTGTATATGAGAAACAAAATTATAAATGCTTTCAGTTCTGGAGCAGCTGCTGCAAAGTTAAAAACAAAGTCATAAGATTGGGGCCAATCCTGGGCATGATGTAAGGACCTGAAGAAGTAAAAATAAGTTGGCACACATAATGAGAGTCAGAGATTAAGTTAAAAGACTGTTGAGAAAAGGTTTGAAAAGCTAAAATAATTCTGAGCATTGTGATAAGGGTTGCATTGCAGTGTAGGACACTTTCCAGGTGTCATCCTTGTAAACAATTGCTCCTCTCGTTCACCCTCCATCAGAAAAAGCAATAACTTGTGGCAAGGGAGAAAGAGGAAGAAAATAGTGGCTGGACTGGAAAGGAAAAAGTCATTAAACAAGCAAGTCAAAGATCATTAGGCAAATGATATGAAAGTCAGCCTATATAGTCAGTTAAAGCACATTAAAGAGATAAGTTATTTTTGAAAACAATATTAATTAATCAGTTTCTTTTCCACGGCAAGCTCTTGTGCATCCTAAGGTTATCATTTTATCAACCACCTGGATAAAAAATAAAACATTTTGGGATGGGATAGGGTAGGTAAATATTATTCAATTCAATATACTTTCTGCACTTTTATTACAGTTAACACTCCATTAGGTAATTTACTGGTAGGAAAAAATCAAAAGTGTGAAATTCTGTCCACAAATTGAGTATTCATGATGTCATCAATTTGTGCAACTATTTTTTTTTCTGGGACTTATTGCAATCCTAAATCATTTTATATTTTTTGAAAGCCAATTAAATTGTATTTTTGGTGCTTCAATTTAAGCAAAGTCCATTCAGATGGAAATAATTTTTATATAAATAGGTTAAATATGTATAAATCTATAACAATGTAATTCAGTTAGTTCTTTTGGTTGTTGGATATAAAAAATATTGTCCAACATTACTGTTTCTCTTTTAAGTAAAAAATTTATTTGCCGAAACTGCATAGGTAAATGTCAAGTTTCAGATTCACTCCACTCTTCTCAGATTACAATTCGAAGCAGAGGAAAAAAAAAATTTTAAACGAACAGTTCCCCCCCCCTCCTTCCTGTCTCTGGCTTTTTAAGCAACGCAGCCAGCCGAAAGAGAGGGGGGGGGGGAATCTCACCACCAAAAAATAACTTCACCTCCTTCCTATGCATTTTGCAATAAATTCTCTCATACATATATTTACTATTATTTTCACAGTTAGGGAAAAAATGGGTGGGTTTTAAAAGCTAACACACACTTCAACAAATTAACTCATTCAGTTCCATACTGACTGTTTGCATAAAACCATTCCACATACAATTATTTCATTTCATATTTTCTCCAGGCAAACCATATATTCTTAGCAAGGCCTTTTTGTATTGTTGTTATCAGAGAGGGCTTTGAGCCTCTTCCAAGTCTTGGAATAACACAAAACAACACAGACAAACGTATATACACAAATACTGTTACAACAACATTTATTTAGACATATAACTTGTCCTGCAAGAAGCGAGAAAAATGACAAGGTGATTTCAACCAAAAAGTGGTTTGAGGGCCCTAATCATCTCCCATTTTTCTCACCATTCCAAGCCCAAGCATAATGTTCTGAGTGGCCACACACACACACACATAACACAAAACACAACCAGACATTTGTCTGATGGCTAACTTAATATATTGCAAACTTTCAAAGCACTCTGAGGGCGTACATTTTGAGTTATGTCTAACTAATCAACAAAGAATTAGCCTCTTCAGAAGAAGCTGAAAATCCAATTAAAGATGTTTTTAGGAGGAATAAATTTTACTTAGTTGATGGGTCCATTTTTTTTTCTTCCTTGCCGGACAGGACTGAATACATAATAGATGTTTATACTGAAGCCCAAGGTTCAAGATGTAATTTATGCTCTATCTTTTAGCCTAAGCGTCCGATGCTCAGGATTCAAAGAACACTGTTTTCCTATCGCAGCCCACCAGCTTCCTTGTGTCTGCCCCAGATTAGAGGAGGAATCTGAGTTCCTCCATGCCTGTCCTTGCTTTTGTGGGGGCTGAGATAACTTGCAGCCCATACTTACTCACTGAGGGGTCTCGTAAGACGAAAGTGCACTTAGAGGTCTGTTCCAGATGATGGTAAGTATGTTGGCAGCTGCTTCTTTCCGTAGGGGTCCCAAAACAAAATGTCCCTGCTGAGGGCGCCAGCTGTAGTAATCACTCCTTAGTCATTGAAGGGTGCAAAGAAATGGCCACCTTTACGCAGCCTTTTATTGTTTATATAGAGGTTTGCAAATAGCAAAAGATACAGCATGGCAACAGCATTTCATTGGCTAAAATCCTTTACCAATCCTCAAGAGTAAAAAGCTAGAGGCCATAAACAGGGAAACTTGTTGTTCCACCAGCCAGCCTTATCAAACTGGCAAGGTCACACAGACCTGCGTACTTTCACGTCACCATGGTGATGTGAGGGGGGGGGAGAAGATAGATGCAGAACAAAGGCACAAGCGTTGGGGGGCGCAGTTTTCCGCACACGACTTTTGCCTGTCTCTCATCTCTACACTGCCCACTTCGGCTTTCTGAGGTCATAGGCAAAGTAGGAAAAGGGTTGAATCCCTATGTTTGTCTATTATTGTCAGTCCTTTGGTGTAGACCAGACTCATACATCAAAGTTGAGAATAATAAAACTACCTTATCCTGAAGTTAGAGTAACAAAATCTTGCAACTTTGCAAATTTCTTTCTATGCAGCACCTGGCTAGATTACATCCTGTTTGCCAGCTTCTCCTGACAGATTAAATTTGGTTGTGTTCTGATCTTTTTTCAGAAAATTATCCTGGTGACAGGCAGGCAAATGGCTAGGCAGAGTCTCAGATCTTTTAGATATAGTCTAATACAGTCTCCACTACAGTCTCTACTACAGTCATGATCTAAATCTAGCTATATAAATCTGGTTGCGTTCACAGGAGCAAAAAAAATAATGATTGATATAAAGGGAGTTTTTACAGTACAAATAGCAGATATGAGAAAGGGTTAAACTCACTGCTCTCTACGTGAAACCTCATGCCATTAGATTTAAAAGTCCATTTAGGTGTTGTGTTTGATTTGGTCCTAGGATTTGGAAGGATTTTGAAATTCATTGCACACTCCCATGCTACTGTGATAATGAAAATTCCGCAAATACGCTTTTCTGTTTTTTGTTTTGTTTCATCTTTTCTTTTGATAGAGCTTTTCGTCTCTTCAAAGTACTCACTGCATTGCTCAAACACTGATATCCCTATGTATCCATTCTTTGATTTCCATTATAGTCTCTACTGTTCTTTGTAGAATGATTCCCAGTAAGAATTGTGTTCTTCATCTGAATAACTGAATATAGCCATCATAACTGGGAGACCTGTTTTATTTTGCAATCATCACCTTCTCTTATAACAAAGCAGTGATTTAAAAGCATCAAACTGTTTGTCTACTGCAGGGTGTCAAGCCCGATTGCATTGTGGACAGTATTGTGATTTATCGGGATGTTTTTTGTTTTTATGGAGCCAGGGTGGGTGTGGCCTGTGGTGGGCCACATCTGGCCCATGGACCACATGTTTGACATGCCTTGTCTACTGGATACAACTTTCTTTTACTTTAATAATCCCAATACAACTATTGGTGAGATTAAAAAAAAGATAAAATCATGCAATGGTTCATGAAGGCGATCTGACAATCACTTTGAATAGTGACTTTAAACTTCAGGCATTGTTTACATAAATTAGCAGGCTTTAGATCTTCCATATCATTGGATTACAACATAGCAATCCTTAACATATTCACTGCTGTAGAGAATAAACTCCACTGAAAATGTTAAATTTGCTATGTCCCGAAATAGGTATTTTCCCTAATATTCATAGAAGACTTTTCTCCATGAAGAAACATTCAAATACATAATTCCATTATTTACAATCTAAGATGTTACTGTACAAGAGTATTAAAAAAATGGTGCAGATTGGTTTTTATTTAATTGTTAATGAACTTTGAATGCTTTCATATATTTTTTTCATGGCAGGGCAACAGCACCTTTGAAAGGTACATGATCAGGAACAATTCAAAAGATGAAATATGTTTCAGCTTGAAGATTCAAGAGTTGGAAAAGTTGTATACAACACAGTTCTGTTTGTCATTGAGGTTTTGGGATTTACTAGGGGGAAAAAACATGTAGAGAAATCATAGAAAAACATAGATGTCATGCATTTTCAAAACTTGCAAAAATCCAAAGGTTGTATCCAATGCTCTTTTTATATAGGAAAGGTTTATCATTGCCCACTGCATTTGTCTGCAGTTTTCTGTAATTCTGGAATCCCTCCAAATGTCTTCTAGTCTGCAGTAGAAGCTTAGGGACTGCAGTGGAGGGATTTGCCCATTGTACTCGGTACAACATATGCTCAAGTGCAAGTATATCACAGCCTTCAAGTTTGTAGCCAGTTTAAAGAAGCCAGTTCCATGTTGTAAGTGTTAAAACATTGTTTGTCTCTGTTTTATTAGAATGATTATAGGAAGTTATCTATGCAATGCAAGGACTTTGTGGTGGGTGTCCTGGATCTCTGCAGAGACACAGAAGAAGTAGAAGCTATTCTGAATGGTGATGTGAGTGTACAAACATGGCCTGAACATCCCCGTCCAAGTTTAAGCAGAATCAAGCTGGCTATTAAATATGAAGTCAAAAAGGTAAATATTCTCTTGCTGCATGTTCTCTTGTTGCATATTGAAAGTCAGATAAAAATGGATTTCTTTATGGATTACATGTTCAAAAAAACTGCATGTAAACAAAACACGTAGACCTTAAAATAATGGCAGATAGTAACAGTGAAAGATGGTAGCAATAGCAAGAGAGGAGATTGTGGGTTGTAGTGAAAGATGGTGATGCTTAACGGTGGAACCTTCTTTGAAAGTAGTTCAATGACTCAAGTCCAAAAAAAAAAAAACTAAATCAGCATGACATTTTAGGAATAGATGCATTTTGCAAACTCTCCTTCAACTTTTCTCGAAATAAGCCTTACTTGAGTAGTTAGATAAGGCAGAAAAGGATCTATAGATAAATCAGTGAAGCATTTTTATCTAACTCCTGGTGAATCTTGTGAGTTTCTATTAAGATACAGTAACCCATTCAACTTAGAATGAAAAGAAAACTGCTGAACTGCAAGATAGAGTTCTTTGTTGTGTGGAAAATATGCTGATAGTATTTCAATATAGTATAACTTTATTCTTGCTGTGAAAAATATTATTTTTTCTGCATATTAAATATCATTCTATTCTGTATATCCTAAATGAGAATAACATATATTTAAAAACTACTTAAATTGGAAATAACACTAATCAGCTGCCCACAACCTGAAATCTCCAAATATGATTGACTAATAATCGTTGAGGATAATAGGAGTTGTAACCAAACCTATTTGGAAGTTGCCAGGGTAGTTGACATTCCTAGAGGTTGTTTTTTTTTTTTTAAATCAACTTTGTTTATTATAGACGTTCATGTTTTACTTTCTACTATTTAGGATCTGGATGAGAGAGGGGTTTTTTTATATTTTATATTACAGTATGTCTTTCTTTTATTTTATGCCATTACACATCAACAAATGTACCTCTATATAAAGGAAGGATGCAATCTCTGTCTATCTCATCTCATAAATAAATCTCTGGGGTCCAGTGTAGCACAGTGGTCTTGATGAAAATAGACAGGCTCAGAATAGCGCTTCAGAGACTTAAACAGAAAACTGTAGCATCATCATTGAAAAGATTCATTATAATTGTTGCCCAGGAAAGCCTTAGAGACCTCTCCCACATCATCAACTATGGACAAGGAAGCTAGCAATCACTGTCTTTCTTATTGCTGATAAATTTTGACCAAGTCCAAATCGCCTGGATTAATGTGAAAATTTAACGATACCAGCATTTGCCTTTTCATTTCTAGAATATTCTGATGCCCTTCTCTGCTCAAAAAAACCCTATTAAATGGTTTTTGAAGTGTGTATTTTAAGAGGAAAAAAAGAATTTTAAAATGTATAATTAACTGAAGATTTTCATAGTGAAATCTTTAAAAGGAAAACAAATGAATGCAGAAATAAGCCTAAGTGGTTTTGTCAGTAAATAGAAGAGAAATCCAGGGACTTGCCTCGGGATGAAAAAGCAACTTTGGTCTTTAATTGGAAAAAAATAACTTACTGCTGAAGATTGTGAATGGAGTGGTGTAGCTGATGGGATTTAGGTATCCTCAGCTATTAGAGATTCTAATCATTAGCTTTAATATGGTTTCTTAATATAACAAAATTATGGGCTAGAAGCCAAGAACAAAATTCTTGGCTTTTAGTCTGTAAACCTTTGGTTTAGCCCGTAAACTGTTGGAAACACAGGTTCTTTTCTAATTTAAGTCAATTTCCTATACTGGAAATAATGATAGAAAAAAAAGATGAGAATGGTAATATTTTATTGAACAAATAGGTCAAACTCGATGTGGTTTTCCATATCATAGACAATTGTAATGGTGCTTTGGGTTATCTAATGTGAAATCTACTGTGGCTTATAAACTATGGTTTGGGCTTAGAGTGCTATCTAGCGTACTGTAGATATTTTTAACAGGTTATGATTAAAAGTATTGTGGCTTAGCATGATCTTTAAAACGGTAAGCAATTTAAAAAAAATCAGGCCATGGTCACTTTTAAAGCAAAAGCAACTCTCCATAGTCAGAATTAGGGATATAGTTCAAGGGAGAATAGTATTTAGTCCTTTGGCAAGAAATAGCATTTGGAAGTGACATGAATAAGAAACCAGCTTGGAGAGTAAAAACTTAAACCCTTCTCCTCCTACATCCTGGTCTCAAACCTGATCATATGGAACTGCTTTTTCTGGCAAAACAAAGTCAACAGAAAATGACATTTTTATGCTGCTACTAAAGGTTATCTGGATTTATGCAGCCAAGATCTAGTAGCCCGCAACAAAGTCCAGGGGCCTGGGCATATTTCTTAAAGTTTAGTGGTTGGCCAGTTAGTGATTACCTGTTGTTCAATATGGGAAATCTTTGTATAAATAGAATCCTGCAGTTTTCACCATGCCCATCATCTTCAATGAACTGTGGTGTTGAGGGGATGGTGGCAAATTATGCTTTACCCTACAAGAGTCTGCAACAGCTGACAGACCTGTGGGCTCCCACAGCGCTCACGGAAAGGGATGCTGCAAATTGAAATAACTAAGCAGAAGAAAATAATACATTGATTGCTTAAAAGTAGGAAAAGCTTGTCAGAGCATTTTAAACAGTTTAACCATGGATACATGATTTGCAAATTGATCACTGCTTTTTCTGTTTTTTTCTTCTTCTGATTAATTATTTGTACAATATACTATGATTATGGATATTGGTTTACTGGAAGCGAGCTCAGAAAGTGCTCCAAATTTTATAGTTAACAGCTGTTCCCTCCTTGCCTTCTAACTCTCTCCACCTGCTTATTGCTGCCTTAGCAGCTGTGCCCAGACTTTCTCTTCCAATTATCAAAGCAATTCATTCCAACTCTTGCTCTGCAAGCTCCTTCATTTTAATTATCCTTTAGAGATCCTGGATAGATCCAACAGCAATGTTTCAAAATAGGCCAGGCAGGAGAATTATATTCCTGATTTCTAACTGTATTTATTTCACTAACATCCCGGTGTAATTTTTTTGCAACAAGAATTGTAGCTTGGTAATCAAGCCTCTGCTTTAAATACCAAAGTTTCCTTTAGCATTTCCAAATAAAGGACCAGGGAACTGAATGAAATATTTGTGGTTCTCCTGAGTCAGCTTCTTTTTAAAGGAAGTTTGGTAGCTTGCAGTTTCAGAGCTTCTGGCAGCTCATAAATCCTTACATCTGTTGCGTCCACCCGGTCCCTTTCAGATCCAGTCCTCCTATGCTATTCCAATCTCTACCAAAATTACTGGTTGCCTTTGACTTATGGATGTAATTTAGCCCGGAATTATGGTTATAAATCATTGTGGTTTTTAAATCAAGGCATCACATGACCAGACCCAATTATTCAACATTAGTATTGGCAGTCATTAAGTGAACACTGCAGCCATTAAGTGAATTAATTTTCCCCAATGGGTGTTTTTTTTGTTTGAAATAAAGTGAGTGCCGGAAACCAGCAAAAAATGTTGCCAGTTGGAGTTATGCAACCGTGGGATACTGCAAATAACCATAAAGGTGAGCCACAGGCCAAGCCCCCAAAATGTAATCCTGTGACTGCAAGGGTGCATATGTGCAGCAGTCATAACTTTGAAAATGGGTCATAAGTAGCTTTGGGGTGGGTTGTCATAACTTTGAATGGTTGCTAACTGACCTGTGGTTAGTCTTTGCAGTACAGTTATTCAGCAGTCTTTTTTCTGATGATCATTCAGTTAGCATATGTAGTTTTCGTACAGTTTGGAACAGGGTTAGTGCACCACTGTTTTGTTCTCTGGGCTTAAGCTAATGCATTCAGAATAATGAAGGAATGTTAAGACAGCCAGTGCAGAGAATAAAATGGCTACAAATAGAAAACATGAGCTATGTGTGCCGCTTGTTATAGCTGGAACACAACTATGCAATGTACTGAGTTGAATAGCTGATACAGTCTTATTTGCATATCTGCTGAAGGATGAGTTTTTTAAAAATCCCCTCCCTGACATTTTTGCCTGAGTTAGCATTGCCATTTAAAAACACCAGGGATTGCCACTCCTCATTAGACATCAAAACTAGCCTCTTTAAAAGCTCATCATAGGAAAAAACAAAAAACAAATTAGAAGCCTAACTGTAATTTTCTGTCCACATTATCCATGGTATCCTCAGCATTATAAGAAAGTTATAACTATCTCCTAATACTTTTCCACATGCAAGAGGAAATGATGGTGGCTCAATAGACCAAGATTCTGAGATTGATATTACTCATTGTGGTGGTGGTAAACCCAACAAATAAGGGCACCATGGGGAAGTGTGCATTTTCTACTGAATTCATATTCATGAATATGGATTACTTAGTAAGCTTTTTAAAGAGATGAAAAATGAAGCAGAATATTGCTTCCCAGCTTCTGGCAATCTGTATGGTTCTTATCAATTTGTTTCAGGTAGGGGCTGGGTCAAAGATTGTTTCTGTATAATTTGGAAGGCCAAGATAAAATTTATATATCTCAACTACATTATCCTATCCATTTTCTACCTGTTCACATTCTAATTTATTTATTCCTTTTAATGCATAGGACTTGGAGAGTAGGTGATAAGAAATTACTTGTGGTAAATATAATGGAAGAGAAAATCTGTGGACATAATGTGATCATATATCTCAAACATTCCTCAGGCTACAATAGAAATAAAAACAGTAAGACCCACAGCAACACTTAGGCTGCAACTCTGCCATTACCCCATGCTATCATTTTTTTAAAAAACACTAACATAGTTAAATTACCTGCCATCCCATAAAACATTGTTTGGCTTCACACTTTGCACTATACCAATGTTTAAGGTCTACAAACAGCAATTGCTGATTTCCCACATGTCCCACACTAGGCTGAGTGGCAATGAGGGCCTTTCCAAAAGTTTTATTTGGCTGTAAATCAGCTCATAATATTAGAATGGGATGGCTTGTCTTCAGAAGTTGTGGGTGCTCCGTCACTGGAGGCTTTCAAAAAGAGACTGGACAACCATTTGTCTGAAATGGTATAGAGT